CTAGTCAGTGGGAACCCAGGCAATGTAGTCTAAATGTCAATTTAGCTCTCCCACAGTAATTCAGCTGAATTACTTCTGGAATATATTGACTCCTCTGAGGGTAGGGAAGTTTTAGATACCTGCTGCATGTGGAGATACATCAATCTGAACTAGATCCTACCCTGGTTTCCAAATGATGAGTGTCTTGTGGCAGAGAAGTTTGTATTTGCTTTTGTTTTCATTTGAACAGACACCAGAGAAAGCACAAGGAAAGAAGGAAATGCAAAAATGAGAGAATATAATGTATTTTTCCAACAGAAGAAGTGAGAGAAGCCTTGTTAACACGTGCACAGTCTTTTGGACATCTTTCTCATTTAGGTATTCTCCTACGTTGAAAAAGGAACAAGTTTTTTCTGTAAAGAAAAAGCTGACATGGCCTCCCTCCCATCTCCATCTTTGTTTAAATGCAAAACTTAAGTTACTACTTTCACTTGTCAAACATGGTTAAAAGTTGTCTAAATGTTACAAAAACTGTTAGTGGACAAACCAGACAGATTACACATATACATGAAGAAACAGGGCTTAGGAAACCAGACTACTAATCTCTGCTCTCTCCTTGGCTGCATACAGATTTAGTTAATATGTAAAAAAGAGGAATGACATGAGTTCAGAAACAGCTCTTTCCTTTTTTAGAGTAGAGGACAACCCAACATCAATGCAGTTTTTGTCCCTGGCACAAAGATGGGGAGTTCTGTGTAGGTCACACCTGAATTACTCACTGTAAGGTCTCCTTACAGTCACCTGGAGAAACTGAGATGACTCACTCTTCCCCACTGTCTACAAAAAGAAATCCCAATAGACTAGCAGAGATGTGTATCAGCCCAGTGAGATGAGACTAATCTCATCTGGGGTACCTCTATTTTTCTTTATGCATAGTGGAAGCAGGAAGCAGAAGCAGAAGGTGGAATCTAGAATCAGAATATGCTTTAGCAAAAAAAGATAAAGATGTCCCTCTGTGGTGCTGGAGGCAACACTGATCAGCAGAATTTGAAGGTAACAAGCCAACGGCCAAGACTGCTCTGTCCTAAGCACACCCACAAACAGTCCCTCCATATTCTTCTTCTCACACCCCAGCATTTAATGACCATTCTGGTAGCACGCTTCCTCACCTTTGAAGAAAAAAAATCTTGGGAAACACTCTCTCACAAAGTGTGGGGGCTCACTTTCAGTGTAGAAGTATGATGCCCATTTAGACTGGAGGACACAGCCTGAATTTTCAAGAACATCCTACTCCAAAAGTAACTTGGGTAAAATGGGAGCAGAAGATCCCACAGTTTTCGTTTCTTTATCAGAGGTGTTACACTTACAAATGAGATACCGACCAGTTTTGATTTGTTAAAGGTATCCAGTTTGCTGGTTAAGCCAACTTCTGATGACTGATTTTGGCAGTCATCCTTATTTGGTTTAGTTGTGACTGCACTTCTGTAATTGGCCAGGTGTCTGTACCTGTTTTGTTCATGTGTATGTTTTGTTCGTGCAGTACAACCAGTTTTGCACAGGTAGCAGTAACAAGAAACTATTCTATATAGAATGAGCTACTTACCATGAACATAATAACTTTGCACAGAGAAATACAACAGCCTGGTAAGATAGCAGAGGCCTGAAGAAGTGGAGACACAGGATGTGGCACAGAGGCGTACAGGCACAGAATGAGAAGAGATAGGGCATAGGCTTGGCACTGGAGATCATGGCTATAAACAACTCACCAATTATAAGAAATGCAGATCTGGAGCTGGACAACAAAGGGCTAACAAAGAGAACAAAGAAATAGTATCTAACACTCATAAAAGCAACTATAAATAGCAAAAAACAAATATAATGCGGAATTGCAGACCAATGAAGAAAGAGACAGGTGTAAAGTTGTTTTACCAAACATACTAAAATGATCCCAGGTGGATCCAACAGTAAGGAAAGGAGAAACCATCAACACGAACCTCATACTTCTCCCAGCACGGGACTCCAGATGCTGACAACTCACTGTAACACCTACCATCACCACCACCAGAATAAAACCAGCAACCCTGGGACCCAGAGGAATAGGGGAGGGGCGAGCATAACACTAGGAAGAGGGTAGAAACAAAGAACTGCATGTGTGACAGCCTTAACTGCAGCATTATTCTTTCACTGTAACAACTGCATCTCAACTAATAGGACTAGACATTCAAAATTCCAGTTACACTAACAAATTCTTTGCTATATAAAGATGTTGCTGCCTTTTTGCCTGTGAACAAGATTTCAATTGTAACATTTTGTACAGGCATGTAGCCTCTTAACATCACAGTAAATAAATCCAGATAAAAATGTTGGTTTATTCCTAACAGGTGTTGCCTGTCTCCCCAGAACAAAGAGGAAAAAAAGCCCAAACCATAAAGTCATGTTTTGCTAACTAGTTCAGCAGAAATATGATCATATACCCACACCTGCCCCAGATCAAATTCATACCATTGGGTGACCTAACACTAATGACTCTGGAGCCATGGCCAAAAGACTACAAAAGGTCCAGAACTGTAAAGTTAGCTCTGTGCAACTGCTCCCACAAAATAACTAGAACATCACCTTGAAAGGGTTATGGACTGGAAAACTCTGAACACCTTCTCTTCATGAAATATTATCAGGGTTTAGAAAGCAATGGAAAAGAATTCACGGAGCAGAGAGGCAAGAAGAGAGAAGCAAGGAAAAGAGCTACCTTGAAATCACTGGAAAATTACCGAGTGTGAACATTGCCTGGCAAAAGAAACTGCAGATGGTAGGAAAAGGAAAAACAAATACTTGAAAAGTTCCACTGATTTTTTTGTTGCTGTCTTTCACCAATTGTTTCTTCAATTAATTCCCAGTTGCTAGGGCTATAAAAGAGCCAGATGTGTTTTAGTTAAAAATTAAGACAGGGGTAATTACCGTGACAGTGTCTCTTCTGTATTCTCACTTCCTCGGGTTATCTCAAACACCTCTGCAAGCCAAGTACTACATTACCTTACCTTCCTGTCATCTTCTTCTTCACGGTGCAATGGGCTTCCCACAGACAAATAACAAGATCACTTTTTTTCATGTCCTGTTTTACAACTACATCTTATATACACGCTATGCAGTTATATATGCTACACCTTATCAGAGCGACCTCTGGAAGGTTTTCAATGCATTTCTGTTGTATACTTGCCGTTTCTTTCCTCAACTAAGCTTTCTGGTAACATAAGCCTTTCAGTCTATGGATTAGGTCTCTTTTTACACTAGTCAATACCCTCAGCACTGAAAAACCACTAACAGTGAAGCAGGTCATCAGGAAAAGATTCATGAAAAAGCAACTGTGGACAATTGATTCTGCTGAGCCATTCAGGAGGTGTTAGGACATTTCCAAATGCAGTTCTTGCCTTTGTACGTGAGCTACAAGACAATTAGAAGGGGAAGGGAGATGATAAAACATCAGAAATAGATATGAAAATATGTTTGAGACAGGTGTTAACCTATAAGTGAAGCCACAGCAGGAGTATAATCAGCTAACAGAGAGGAATTGTGTAATTTGACATTGTGAGGTCATCCTCAACCTTAAAATTCAGGTTCCCTAATTGTGTCTCTATTGTAAATAGCCTGTAGTTAAGGAACTATGCATACAACCCCAAACTGTCTAGCAAATAGACTTAGTCAACATAACATTATCATCTCTCTTCTGAAAAGGCATACTTGATGGGACCCAAGAGAGTCGTGTTCTGAGCCTAGCTTTACTCCTCACCAGCTGTCTGATCTTGCCTCATCTCTCCACAGCAGTTTTTAATCTCAGCCATAGGCTTTCTCACTCTTTGCCCAATCTCTCAGCAAGGAGTCTCAGCACAACTGCACATCCAAAAACTTAGTAAAATTACCCGCAAGGCATTAGTGAAAATAGAGTAGTCCTGGCTTAGGCCCATTTAAATAGCTGGTGTCACTGGTTCTTCAACAGAAATTACTGCCTTCTGTGTCTGTAGAGCAGCTAGGACCATAGCACCTCAAATTCCTGTGAGGCCTTTAAACAGCAATATAACATTAATTACAATACAAGAACAGGTGACTGTCAATTGTATTTCATATTCTTAAATGGAAAATATACTTAAAACACACACACACTTCTATTGAATGGTCAGAGCCTGCGTGCGTGCCTGACAGAGGAAAACTTCCAAGACTGAAGTACTTTTCCTCCGAGAGAAGTAGGAATGGTTTCTGATGAATGCCAGAGGAGAAACATGCATGCCAAGGATTGCTACTAAAAACAATTCCTGAGTTCTTCAAAGGTCTCTTCACAAGTTTGGTATGTAAATTAAAAGCTCTGAATTCTTTTTGACTGACTGTTATTTTCTGCCCCAAATCTTCGACCCTAAGATTCTCTTCACTTTGCAAATGTATATGCAGAGCCAAATACAGCAGGTAAACCTGCTCTTTATCTGCACAATATACAGTACAAGAAAAAACAATCTCAGAATGGACTTCAGTTGCAAATAAGTGTTATAAATTATCACTCACATATTAAAATTAATGATAATGAGCCCATCTGGAGTTGCTAATTGGTTCTAGGCACAGTGTTAAGTTTTTCAGATGCAAAACTCTGTTCATTATCAACACTCAGCCAGCAACATACTTGTCTTTAATGGTAACAACTTTTGAGAACTCCTGCTTCACACATATAAGAAATCAAATGCACGAAGTTCTCTCAAAGCCCATGGGGAAAATGACAGCTACTCACATTTCACCAGAACTGGCAAAAATCTTCCCTTTCAAACTCAAACTCCAATGACTCATCACAAAACAACTCAATCAGCAAAGCTCATACATCTGGTAGCAATGTGGTGTTAGCAAGCCCTTCCCAGCCAACAGCTTACAGACCCAGCTCCTTCCAGCGTCACTCTCACTCGTGGGGAAAGAATTCCTTCAATGTAGCCTTAAATCAGACCAGGTATTGACAGGACCTTATTTGAGACGAAGGGGGGAGTTCATACCTCATGGAGCTATCGCTTCAACAGACCTTGCTGCACTGATTTACACAGAGTTTATGTTTTCAGAGTTATGCCTGCAAACAAAGACAAGGAGCATGATTATTCTCATATGCTTCAGCAAAAGTGCAATGCACAGAATCCACTGTGCCTGCAGACCTCTGTGGATGATAACCACCCATGCAGAGGTGGTAACAAGCAACCAGAAAGTGGTAACATCAAACACTGCTACAGTCATGCTGGCAGGAAACATCTGCCCCCTGCCTTATCTCTTTCTCTCATTTTATACTGAGGGTGAAATATCACTGACGTCTTCTATGGCAACTTCTCTGCAGTACAATCACCTCCACACTTCTGCACAGGCAATACAAATTTACCTTCTGCAGATCTAACAGGAAGCCACTTCAATATCTTATTAGACTGTCACTCAGACTGGACTGTAATATGCTTTTTCACATAACATTTCAGAGGAATACCTTCACATGTCAGATATACCTTCACAAACTATGGCACATAATCAACAAATCACTGCATCAACAAAATGCCTCATCACTTTTAATGATAAGTAAATATCTGAAGTTTGACATCACCTTTTAGCAGAACATATGACTTTAGGAAAAGTGACACATGGCTCTATCTGGCTTCCCTTTCGCAAAAGGAAAGATTATGCAGACTTCTGTTGGCCATTCCTTTGAATTCCAAAGGTCAGAGGGTCCATATGCAACTTCAGATTTACAAAACCAAGCAAAAACCCCACCCACAACTCTACCTACAAATTAATTTTAAGAGTGCTCTTTGAAGAAATCTGATTAACTAGCACAGCTGAGATTTATATCACTTGCTCACCCAGGATCCCCAGGTCATTTTATAGATATAAAAGTAGTCCATAACTCTGAGTAAAGCTTGCTCTTCTGGACATAACCACACTGTAGCTCATCAAGCATTGGAATCACTGTCTCATCCCACTCCTCGTACTACCTCACAGGTTGTTCCTGGCCTGACACTGCAGGCACACAAAACACTCCTTGCAAGCTGCTAGTTAAATACCACCACAGCTGTTTATGAGTAGTTGTCTCATGGTCACCTGTCTTCCATGAGTGCATGATGCAATGGGAAAGTCCATCCTAAATCTTGACCTTTAGAAACCACAGAGAGCTGCAGAACTCAATGCTATGCCACCCAAACCCAGCACTGGGTGAGACAGCTTACGCTTGGAAAAGCAGAACAGCTGCTTCAGCACAACTAGGAGGACAGCTGAGTCAATCAGCTGTGAGCTGCTCATCTGAAACTAACTCAGAATTTCCACAGAGCTGGGGGTTTTATAGTGGACAACAGTTATGCTATGAGTCTGATGAGGAATTTTTCTAACATTTTTCTAGTTGGGACAGAAAGTAGGTAACATTTGTTTAGTTACTCCCCTATCTTACTTGGGCACCACCGAGACTGCACATCACTAGTGTCTATTAAAATATCAAAGCACCTTTCACTGTCAAATGCCATTACTGCCAGATTTCATATGTCATTAAAAGGCAGACAAATGTATGCATGTTCTTTAAGGCACTTATTCATGTGAGCAACCTTACATATAAGTGAGAATGTCTTACTGAAGAGTTAGATCTTAAGTATGTCTAGAAACACAGCTACTTAACTTTCAAGCTGGAGCTGAATCCAAATAATGCATTCCTGTAGACATCTAACACCAGCAGCTTTCCAAGTCTTCTAAATTCACATAAAACAATACAGACAACTACAGCTCAGTAAGGCTTCACATTGCTCACTAACTGTGAATCTGGGATGAGTGACCTACTCATCTTTTTGTTGATGTTTCTTTTAAATAAAACAGATTATAAAGCCTAATGATAGCACACTCGTGATCTGTTGCTCTCCTCACATCATCCCCAAAGCTAACTTCTTCTTTTGAAACAAACTCACTGAAAATGTGTCACATCTCTGTAGGCATAGGTTAACAATTCAAAGTTGGTCTAGCTATTAGACTACAATCACAGAGATGAAAATAAGTATGTTTCGATGCATACAAATAGTTCCATTAGCTTCAGAGGTCGTTCTGATGCATAAAATCAGATTGCAAGGCCCTCTAATGGAAAAAAATCAACCAAAAAATCTTAAAAAAACACAGCCCAAGTCATAAGAAAATTATTTGTGCATAAATACCACCAGATTTGCAGGGGAAGTTGATAATAAACATTCAGATGGTCACCAGGCATCTCTCATTTAAAGAACCTTAATTTCCCTTCTTATAATTTTGCCCTAATCGTGACCATTTCAACTAAAATGTTTCACAGCATACACCAACTCAAGATGGGGGGGGGGGGGGGGGGGTATTAATAGATAAATGTTTTATATCTGCAGTTATTTCCAACACCTAGTTAGAGAAAAAGGTATCTAACTGGAATGCATAAAAAATTGACCTGAAAAATTCTCTATGAGTTCTAGGTGCTGGAACAGAGACTTGAGATTCTGAAAGCTTTTACATCAGCTTTTTTATACCCCAAGAAATCTGTTCAAGTCTGGGCCTTCCGAGGGCTTGGGCGACATAGCCTTGTGCATGCTCAATAGCAACACATTTATCATCTCAATTTCCCAACAGCTCCATCTGTGCAGAGCGTGCTGCTGAGAGGCTGAACCGGAGTTTCCTTGTAGCCACTGGCTCTTCCGAGTTAAGCTCTCTTTTGTGTCCACAGGCCTGTCTCCTACAGTGTCCGACCTCCAGATGGGTCCAAGTAGCCTGAACTGACGCAGAGGGGAAAAGAAGAATATATGGAGTCAATTAGGTAAGGGCAAAAGAGGCCTATAAGCACCTGACATGGCACAGGTAAAATTGCACTAGGAAACTGAGAGCAGGCAACAATTTAATGGAGGGTGAAATTAGGATGAGTCATGAAGGACTCAGGAATGAAGAAACCCAAGAGCAAACTGGGCAGTGCCTATCTGGGCAGCAGCTCTGTGGGAAAGGGGTCCTGCTGAAGCAAACCCCAGCTTGGTAGTGCAGAGATGCTGGCTGAAAAGTGACCATCAGCACCCTGGGCTGTAAGGACAGAGGCAGAATCAGGAAATCCACAGAAGAACCCCCATCTGCTTGGCACTCATTAGAGTGCTTCTGGAATACTGCATCCAGGTTTTAGATGTCCCTCCAGTGCAAGAAAGATGCTGATGAGCTGGAGGGAATTCAGGGAAGAGCTACCAGGATGGTGGGGCTGGAACATCTACATGTAAGAGACGCTGGAGGAGCCTGGAGCACAGACTGCTTCAGGGGCCTGAAAAACAGCACCAGTGTCTATGTGGAAAGACTCCAGCAGATGACAGTGGGCTGCCTAGGGAGGCTGGGCAATCTCTCCATCATTGGAGTCAACCACCTCTGTAAGTTTTCAAGCCCAGACTGGGTAAAAGCCATGAGTAGCTAGATCTGACCTCAGAGCTGTCCCTGGCGTGAGCAGGAGGTTGGACTGAGGGCTGCTGTGACCCTACAGACTGGGCATGGTGAGGCAGCCAGAACGGGACAGGATGATCTTCAGCCACGAGGCTGTCCTGCTTCCAGGCCCTGCAGTGAAACCCAGGGCCTCCTTGTCCACCAGCCAACATCCTTCCTTGTCCATCAGACAACATCCTCCCTTGCTACTCTACTGCGCTCTCCTGCATCAAACACACAGCCCAAGCAAGATGTGCTTTCATAAAGTTCCAACTTCACCGACAGCTCGTGGAGGGTGCAATAGGAAAGTGCTTCATCTTCTGTGGATTACAGACCTTGGAAATTACATGCATGGCATTAAAAGCCATTCAGATCATGAAATCAAGCTCTCAAAAAAAGCCATGAGGACAAATCCACAGATGCTCAATGTACCTCAGTTCATTACTGTGAAAGCACAGGGTAAGGCCTGGCTTGAGAACAGCAGAAAGGCAGCTGCAGAGCCTGGCATCCTACCCTGCCCCTCCACCAAGAGCTCACTTGGACGGCTGATCTACTAAATCCTGCCCCTGCACACACCGCACAGCTCCGGTCACTGAGGGAGCGGTCATCGACAGACAGGCTGGCGGGGTGGTACCACCTGCTCCGATTAAACGCCTGCAGAAGGAACCGGCTTGGCCGCAGTGGAGCAGTGCCCACGCCTGCCTGTGTGCACCATCGCCCCGATGACACAGGAACGTCGAACCGAGCACAGTGACACCCTGCGGGGACACCCCACCGGGATACCCGATCACAGGGACACCCTGCGGGGACACCCCACCGGGATACCCCGGCGGTGAGGACACGCCAGAGCCTCCTGCCCACGAAGGGAGAAAATGGCACCAGCTCCCTCCCCCCGGCTTCCTTTCCTCTGCCGGCCCCACCTCGCCCTCTTCCTCTCCCCCCACACCCCGCGATGGCTCTTGACTGAGGAGGGGCCGCCACAGCCGCCGAGCCCCGCAGCGGTGCTGCGGCAGCAGCGACCCGGCCCCGGCCGTTACCTGGAGAGGGAGTCACCGCTGGGCAGCCGCGCCGCCGCCCGCCCGGCGCCCAGGCTCTCGCAGCTGGAGCTCTCCTCCATGCCGGGCGGCGGGGCGGCCCCGGGGCGGGCAGCGCGCTGTCAGCCGAGCGGAGGGCGCCCGGCGGGGCGGGAAGCGGCCATGTTGGCCCGGCGTGCCGCGCGGGGAGGGCGGGGCGGCGGAGGGGCCGAGCTGCGGGGCGGCATTGGCCCCAGGGGCTCTTCTCCTGAGCTCGGCGGGCGGTGAGGGTGCTCCCGTCGCTGCGCAGCCGTGTCTCCTCTCCTGGCTGAGGGGAAGGGGTTGGGATTGTGTCCGGCCTCCTTCAGTGTGAGCCGAGGCGTCGCCCGCGGGGTCCTCATTTCCTCCAGCCTAAGGGGCGAGTTGAGCGTGAAGTAAGAGGGAGCCAGCGAGCGGGTGGAGGTGTTTGCTCATGCGGGTACAGAATGGGACGGCATCTCCTTTTCTGGCCTCTTAGAAACCAAGGGAAGGCGGCAGCCCCCGGGTTCCCTCCGTGGGGCACGGTGGTAATTAGTAAGAGCAAGGTCTCGCTGAAGGATCCCCGTTGGGTTGCTAGAGGCTCTGCTGAGACCCCTCTCCTGTACTCAGTTATACACCTGGAACCATAGGAATGTTTTGGGTTGGAATGGACCTTGAAGATCATTTAGTTCCAATCCCCCTGGATGGGGAGGGACATTTTCCACTAGGCCAGGTTGCTCAAAGCCTCACTGCAACAGTTGTGCTCCTGAAATTCTTAATTGCCCTCATCTGCTCCAGCATCCCATTTGAGTTTATCCCTCAGGAGCTGTGCAACACCGCAGCTCAAAGTAGGATGAGTTCACAGGGCCCTGCATGGCTCCTCTGCATGCTCACAGGGAGAGAAGTTACCTGACCATGAGCTCTTGTATATACGTGACCGTTTGTGCCCAGGAAGCTTTGCATTCTCAGCTCGTTATCAAGTGTTCTGCAGGAAGAGCCATGGTACATTCAGTTCCTCAGAACTACTTGGTGGGCAAGAGAAAAGCTGTTGGTATTGCTTAGGGAGACTGGAGAATTGCATGTTAAACCTCCTCTACCCAGCACAAAGGTGTCTTCCAAATGCACATCTGTTTTGGCAAAATATCACACGAGGCAACAACTGAAGCACTGGGGAAGTTTACTGAGGCTTCCAGTAAGTAAGTCCCTCTTGATAAAGAGCACACGGTATCAGGAGCATCAGTCCAAATGGACCTTTCCATTTGAAACACTACCTCAAAACAGCATTAACCCTGTATCTTCTAAATATATGAATACTCTGTGGCTGTAAAATGCTTACTGAAACATCCTCTTTCTTTGTGCTCCAAGGACTAAATTTGTTGATGTATTTCCTTCTGTTTTTTTCCGTTTTGTTCCTATCATCAGAGTGTAACTCCAGAGCAGTTTAAATCACGCAGAAGCCCATGAACAGGAGCAGGATGCTGAAGCAGGATTGCACAATGAGGCTGTGAGATTGCTTCCATCACTGTTAGTCCCTATCAGCTGCCGTTGAGCACAGTTGATGTAGGATGTCTCAGAAGCTGGTTTAAACTTCAAAACACTGCTTTGTCGAAGCAGGGTGTTTTGACTGTATTTTTTACTTAATCTTCTGAACAAAATGTTTCTAAGTTGACAAATGGGTTTGTTTAGTGACGAGCTGGTTTTTTCTTCAGCCTAGAAAATTTAATTTGTTTAGGCTTTTCTAAAATGGAAACTGTTTTATGATTAGAAATGGGATTTTTGTTTTTAAAAAATAAGCTAATTGCTAGTGGTTTATTGCAGTGTTAAAATCCAAACAAAATGCTTTGACATTGTTACAATAGAAAGATTGATGGGTTTGGGATGACTTTGTTCCAGCTGTAACATTTTTTTTCTAATGTTGATTTTTATTTCTTTTTCTCCTCTAGTTAGGGGCAATAAATCTTTCAGAAGTACCATTTACTAACGGAAAATGAGATACTCTCTCTTCCGTTCTCTTCAGCTTTGCATCCCCACCTCTCTCTGGGCAAGCAGACTGTGTCCTCTTTGGAGACAAGCGGACAGGGGGTGCTGTAGCAGCAGTTTGCATCTCTGAGAAGCAGCCATGCAGTTCGTTTTCCCGCTGGTGCGCTCTTTTCCCAGCCTTTCCAAGGACAGAGCTCCTTAGAGTGGTAACCCTTGGGAGAGGTCAGTGATGTAGACCTAGCACAGAGCAATGCATATCTCCCTTTTACATCTTATCAAATAGCCTTGTGGCGAGTTGGTATTACCTCCATTCCTTCTGCTAAGCTTAGTTTGATAGAGGTGCAGTTGTTTAAAAAAAGTCAAGTAGGAATAAAAACAATATATAAACCTCGTTTGCTATGTGAAAGTATTAGAGTGCCTTCCTTTCTTCCTAATTTGCTATTGATGTGGCATCTCTAAGTAGTTTATTGATGAAGTGCTCTATTTGCTTTTCACTGCCCTGTTTTGTTCTTGGCTTTATCCCCAGGGCCTGTGAAACCCTTTAGAAATTCCCACTGGTGCTTTGTAAATGAGAACAAAGCTAATCACCTCCTGGATCTCTCCTGCTGCTGAAAGAAACTAGCAGTCTGCTCAGTGAGTCTGCTCAACAATACCACATTTTCAAAGTCAGTCAGAATTTTCTCTCTGTGAAGTGAGTTACCTCGGGGCTCTTACGAGTGCTGGGGAATTAAATAAAAGCCCCGACATAACCAAAACCAATTAAGGACAATTCACAAGACTGTTTTATAACTGATGTAAAACAAGCGTAGTTCAGTCTGTTAACCTACTTTTGCTTGCCACATCCCTTACCATTATCTTACAAGTATCATCATTTGGGGTTTTTTTATGAGGGAATGTTCTGCTGTTTTGTGATTTGAACACAGGAAACAGTAAAAGAAAATTAACATCATGGCTAAGTAATAAAATTATCTATGTTCATATTTAATGTCATGTGGCTGACACAGCTGAGGTAAATGATATCCTAAAAGAGAGAATGACAAGGAGCTTTCTTGAAACAAAGGTGCAAAAGATTCTGTCCAAGTAAAGGATAAGCAGACATCCTCCAATACTTTCTGAACCTGTACATAGTTGTAACTTTTATTTGTAGTATGTAAGAAGTGTAGAATCCATAGCCTGGCTTTCTTAGGTGTGTAGAGGCTGTCAAAGCTGTAGTGGATACAGCACAAAGAGGATAATTTTATGTATCATGTAAAACATAATTAAGTGTGGGAAGTAAAATGTCTGCCTTGCTCCTTAAGTGTGAAAGGGAGATAGTATTTGTGTGCATTGTATCTAAATTACGTGTCTGTTGTGTAAGGAAGGGGCTTTCTAGCTCTGTGTATACGTAGTCCTGTATCTGGTATATGACAGGTGAATATGCCAGATGTTATAAACCCAAATGTTCTCATCCCTGGAACTCCTCGTCTTTGCTGCTGCATAGCCAAACACAGGCCTGACATGTCTCACACTGTGAGCATAGTGCTCCCCAAAGCTAGGGACAGTCATGTATCCCAGGCATCCTTGCACAGCCTGCTCGTAAGGGTCTGGTGGGGATGTTTGGTCATGGTCTGTGACTCCTTGACTAAACGTACCTGGAGCATTGGGTGCCAGAGCAGAGGAGGAATCATCCTCTGCAGTGGTCAAGGAGTGGAATGTGAAACAGGACCACACACTGAAATGATTCTCTCTATGAAAGCATGCTCCCCTGCTGCAGTCTTTCTTATAACCTGCCTTTACATGGTACAGCTCATCAGGCATTCCCCTCGCTCCTCCTCTTCCCCATCACACAACCCAACATGGTTATTTGAAACACCTATAAATAACAAGGGCGGAAAAGCTCCAATCGCTCCTGAAGATGGCTGCCTTGTCCCCTTCACTGCAGCCCCAACATTAGAATTGTATCCATCCTACAACTCTCCCGCCTTGCTGGAGCTCTGTGGATCTCACATGTTTTCCCCACTATGCTCACACATTCCTGTGCCCTGTTAGCCAGCGCATTAAATTATTCATGGCAATGGCAGCTTCACACACTGTGCCTTCTTCTGTAGTAGTCCACATCAGTGAGTCAAACAAGTCTGGAGCATGACTGAGTCCCATGATTGTGCTGAAAACCACACAACCAGAGACACCCTTGTTTCTCCCTTTGATTTACTAAAACGGTTCTCAGATTTATTACATTTTCTTGTCTCCTTGATGTACAGCTTAAGGGCAGTGGGCAGCCAATAAAAGATTCTCAGCGCCTCGGGAAGAGTGGATTGTCGCTGGTGAGATCCCACTGTGATGTATGATCATCAAATCACACTGGAGGTGGCATGTGTTCCTTTTGTCAGGTTCCATCAGCTGATAAAGTATGAGGTCAGAAACAGCAAGAGCTTTGGCACACACAGAGAGCTGATGAAGAGCAACGTGCTGTGGCTGTGATTTGGAGCTAGAGCTGCTTGCGGTGGCAAGAACATCTGTTACAAGATGGTCATGGGGCACATGCATGAATTCAGTCCTGCTGATGCATGATGCCTGTGCTGTTGAAGCTGGAAACTAGTCAAAACCAAGAGAAGAACTTACAGCTACACTTAAATTGTCACCACATCTTCAAGATTGCTGTACTTGAGGTTAACTTGATCAGACTGATCACCTTAGCTCACCCATGATGTGGTTCTTTACTGGCTGTGATGGCATCCTGACACTGTTTTTGTCTTGCACCCCTCCAAGTGTCTGATAGAAGCAGAAATTAATGGTCAATGAGCCTCTGGCACTTTTTATTTGCCACTTGCTTGGGGTTTTTCTCATGCAATCATGCATGTATTGGTGCAAGGTGTTACAGATGTGGACCTCCGGATTCAACCTGGAGGTAGCTTTGCGTGCTGTAGCTTGCTACCTGTTTGCAGACCTCGTCTGGTGAGCAGAATGTTTATTCTGCTTGCTGCTCTACCTGTGTAGTGCTTTCTTGTCCTTACTCTCATCACCAGCTCGTGGCTGCTCACAGAGCAGTAAGACATTAAATATTGCACAGGCTAATGAGTACGTGAGATTTCATCCCAGTGTGTACAGACCACTGTCTGGAATCAGGCATTTCACCCATCTTTTAGTTGCCTTATGCTTTTAGTTTTTAATGGTCTCTGCAGATACTG